TTATGCCAAGGTTTACCAGTTACAAGCTGAATCTTCAACCTGTAAACAGGGAAACCGTAGTTTGTCTTCATATTATTCAGCCCTTACCTCCATATGGAAAGAATTKGATCATTATYAGRCTATAGAGTGGAAACATGATGATGATGCTAAGGCCTACAGGAAGCTGGTCTCTCAGCAACGTGTGTTTACTTTCTTGTTGGGACTGAACCCTGCCTATGAACCGTTGAGGGTTCAGATCCTAGGAAGCAAAGAGTTGTCGTCGGTTCATGAGGTATACTCCCTTGTTCAATTGGAAGAAAGTAGGCGGAGTGTGATGGTTACAGTTGAGGGGGAGCAACAAGTTGCTTTGGCTACGATGAATAATAACTCCATAGGGAAGAAAAGTGACACTAAGAAGACTGATGATAAAGATAAGTTGTACTGTACCCACTGTCGGCGTTCACAGCATACACGTGACACTTGTTGGGACATCCAYGGGAAACCCAAGTGGGCAGTGAAGAATCAAGAACAGGGTAAARGTCAAGGTCAGAAGAAGATGAACATAGCACAGAATGCAGTACATGTGGAAACCCAAGATACTCAGGTTGCCGGTAGTACCTAGGACCACCCTAATAAGTCTGACCCCAAGGAAGATATAATGAATTCCTTCAGAGAACACCTGGAATCTTATGGTAGGGCTTTGCGACAAATGGACAGCTCAGTCACTGGTACTCCCTCTACCTCATTTGCATCTACATCAGGTAATATGGCTTCTGCATTCCATGTCACTCCCACGGATTCCCCTTGGATCATTAACTCAGGGGCCTCCAACCACATGACCGGTAAGCCGAACTTGTTTCAGACTTATAGCCTTTTGTCAGGAAGGGATAGARTGAGACTTGCAGATGGCTCATTTTCCTCCATTGCAGGCCAAGGATCAATATCTCTTCCCCATGGCCTTAACCTGAATTGTGTATTGCATGTCCCTCAACTTCCTATAAATTTGCTTTCAATTAGTAGTATTACAAGCTCTTCAAACTGTAGTGTAACCTTTTTTCTTGACTCGTGTTTTTCAGGACCTAACTTCTGGGAGGATGATTGGTAGAGGGAGCCTAGTGGATGGTCTCTACATTCTCGACAACAAAGTTGGTCTCTCGGTGTCATTCTCAAAGTCACATAGTTAGTCAAATAAGAGCCAATTTTTTTTGTGGCATAGTCGTTTAGGTCATGTTTCTTTTGAAATAGTAAAGTCTTTGTTTCCGGTTTTATTTAAGTCATGTTCAGTGTCAGAGTTCCAGTGTCAAACGTGTTAGTTGAGCAAACAATGTAGAACAACTTTTCACTCAAGTAATAAAAGATCAAATGTTCCTTTTCATGTTGTGTATTCTGATGTATGGGGGCCTACAAATGTAATCTCTGAGGGCAGATATAAGTACTTTATCACATTGATCGATGATTACTCTCGCTATACATGGGTATTTCCTATGCGTAGTAGAGACGAAGTTCCGAAGGTTGTGAAAGACTTCCAGAGGATGGTATTTACACAGTTCCATGTTGAAATACAGATCTTCCAATCCGACAATGCAAAATAATACTTCCATGGGGAGCTCAATGAGTTCTTTATTTCCCACGTATCTATTCATAAGAGCTCATGCGCCAGGACACCACAACAAAATGGTGTTGCAGAAAGAAAAAATAGACACCTCCTTGAGGTAGCTCGCAGGATGATGTTACACATGAATGTTCCAAAAAGGTTTTGGGTGGATGCTATACTGGCAGCTGCTTATGTCATCAATCGCATGCCCTCCAAAGTGCTGAACTACATGCCCTTCTTTGAGTCTGAGCCATTCTTCCTTGCTTCTCAGGGGGAGAGTGTGGAAGAGGAGAAGCAGGTTCAGGTATCTCTTCCTTCTATTCCGGACCTTGCTCCCTTTCGTGTCTTCCAACGTACACGCCGTAGAGGAGGTAAGTCCACTCCCTAACCCTACTCCTACTGTGGATGACCTTGACATTCCTAATGCTCAACGAAAGGGAGTCAGGTCATGCACTACCAAACACCCCATTACCCATTTTGTCTCCTAYGATCACATYYCCCCCTCATACCGAGCCTTCCTATCTGCAGTTGATTGCATCACTGTTCCCAGAAACGTTGCAGAAGCCTTAAAATGCCCTGAATGGACAGATGCCATGAAGGAGGAGATTAATGCTCTTCACAAAAATCAAACTTGGAAATTGGTGGACCTTCCAAAGGGGAAAGACCCCGTGGGGTGTAAATGGGTGTTCACGGTTAAACACAAGACAAACGGAACAGTTGAAAGGTACAAAGCAAGATTAGTAGCCAAAGGGTACACACAAGTATACGGGGTTGACTATGATGAGACTTTTGCTCTAGTAGCTAAGATGAACTGAATTAGGGTTCTCCTGTCCTTAGCTGCTAATCTGGACTGGGAATTGCATCAACTGGACATAAAGAATGCTTTTCTGAATGGTGACTTAGAGGAGGAAGTATACATGGTTCAACCCCCTGAATTCTGTGCCAAGGGAAGTGAAAAAAGGTGTGCAAGCTGCAAAAGTCTCTTTATGGCTTAAAACAATCTCCCAGATCTTGGTTCAGTAAGTTTCACATGGCAGTTCAGCAGATGGGCTTCAAACAATGTCAGTCTAATCATACACTTTTTTTGTGAAGAGATGTCAGGAACAGGTTGCTGTATTGATAGTGTATGTGAATGATATCATCATTACAGGAAGTTGAAGTTCAGAGATACAAAAATTGAAACAATTCCTTGCATCTAAATTTGAAGTGAAAGATCTAGGTCCCCTGAAGTATTTCCTTGGGATTGAAGTCGCCCGCTCAGAAAAGGGTATCTTTATCTCTCAAAGGAAATACGCCCTTGATCAGGACACAGGCAAATTAAGTGCAAGGCCAGCAGATACTCCCATGGATGTTGACCACAAGTTAGGTGACTGTGATGGTGAACCTCTGAAAGATGTGAAACAATTCCAAAGATTAGTGGGAAAACTGACTTATTTGTCCATGACTCGTCCAGACATTGCCTATTCCGTTGGGGTCCTAAGCCAATTCATGCACTCTCCTAAGAAACCACACATGGAGGCAGTAGAGAGAGTTC